TGAATTTGTGAGTAGAAGCTGCACAGGATGAAAGCTAAATCCTGAAAGGATATGGGTTCCTGGCACAGAATACAATGCCTTAGGGTTTAGGCTTGCCTAAAGAAAATCTCTCCTTTGTTTGAGCAAGTGTTTTGGGTTTCCTGTCACTTGTTGTAGCCCAACAATTCTGGTAGGAAAAAAATATTTTTCAGAAAAAATTAATTTGGTTGAATTGTAATCTTCTGGACCATAACATGGGTTGAAATTATTTGCCTATAGGCTTTATTAAGCTCCGAGGGGTACTATGCTGTGTTTCAATATGTGAACACTAGGCAGGGCACCTTCACAAATCCCTGTGCCTTCCTATCTGACTAACGGGGCTCATATGCATTTCTTATCCCTACATGGATTTGCATGTGCAACTCCTTCCCCTAGAGGGAACCTTGCTTGAGTGACAAGCAATTGCTTATTCAGTGGCTTCTTGCCAAGTGTTTGGCTGCCTATTTGCCCTTCTGATGTCTATGAGATTCAAATAAGTGATTAAAAAGGGAGGGAAAGGTCAGGATAAGCCATTCCACTCAGCTCCCACTCAACAACCCAGCTCAGTCCCCAAGGAAAAGCAGCCTGTTTCTAGTGGGACTTGGCATCAACTCTTGTTATGCAGCAGTGAGAGTTGGCTCCACCGGTTGTGTGGGTAGGGGTAGGATGGAGGTATCTTAGGTTGTGGTTTGGTGTTTCTGTCTGTTGGGACAAAGGCAGAGCTCCTTCCTCCTTTCCTTAACCAGAGCCTCTGACCCAGAGTTTCAAACAAACGTGACATTGGACAAGTGGGTCAGCAGTCAGATCTGAGCATTTTTTTTTTAAGTAGGAAATGTCACTATTGGGGTATTAAATTCTAGTGTAAAGTGATTAGAGGAAAAAAATACCTGTGGAGTTTTGTAGTAGAACTTATCAAAATATGTCGAGAAAAATCAACTCCGGGACATTGCTACAAATGAAGACAACCTGAAGTGCCTACCTCAAGAGGCCTTTCCATTTACATGGGACATCCTGAGTAGTGCTAAAGCTCAACTCAAGTCAGGAGGCCTAGACTTGATTCCTGGTTGCCTGTATACCAGCTAGGTGACCTTGACTTCTTGCTAGGCCTCTCTGTGCATAGCTGCAGTGTGCTGGTGGTGGCTCCCTCCCTGCTGGAGAGCTGGGTACTTGTATTTCCTTCCAGTTCTTTTTTTTTTTTTTTAAGATTTTATTTATTTATTTGAGAGGTAGAGTTACAGAGAGAAAGGTCTTTCATCTGCTGGTTCACTCCCCAAATGGCCACATGGCAAGAGCTGGGCCAATCCGGAGCCAGGAGCAAGGAGCTTCTTCTGGTCCTCCTATGTGGGTGCAAGGGCCTGAGTGTTTGAGCCATTTTCCATTGCTTTCCAAGATGGTAAATAGAGAACTGGATGGGAAGAGGAGTAGGTGAGCGTGAGCCATAGGGGATGCAGGTACTGCAGGTGGAGGCTTAGCCTACTATGCCACAGCCCCAGCCCCTTTTCCCAGTTCTCTGTTCTCTGACATCGTAAGAGCTCTGGAATCAGGAAACCAGTTCTCTCCTTGCCCAGAGAACTGTCAAATCTTCATGAAATGGGGCAGATACTACCTACCTTCCCCAGGGCATGAATTGGGTGGACTCATAGGAAGTACAAGTGATAGCCTTGATTATGTTAGCTTTCTGATTCTTTTAGCTATGTAGCATGAGCTCTATTACTGTTGACCCTAGTCATTGGGGAAGGTGGAACCTGATTTCACTCTAACATTGCTTTGCATAACTTTGGCTTGACCTCTTGGTATCCCTTTTGCTTGCCCTTGGGGCTGAGTTGACTGCGACAGCCTATAAACCTGCCTGGCAGTGCAAAGTATGCGCCTGAGTGGCCTGACCCAGATATTGGGGATGTGTTGGCGGAGTGAGGCCAGTTACTGAACAAAAGCACATGTGTGGGACAAAGGCCCTGGGTTACAACATTGGAGGTAGAGTGGGGGAGGCTGTACCTTGACCTGACCACAGTGGGCAGTGGGCCATAATCAAAGAATGCTGGAGTCCAGAGGGCTATAAGAAGCCACTCAATCCAATGCTTTATTTTGCATATGAGACACAATCTCAGATCAGAGTTTGGATTTCCCTCTTCTGTTGTCTTTCCAATTTCCTTTCTTGACCAGGCTGTTTTATGTTATGATGAAGACACTACCACATCCAAAATCTAAAAGAAAATGCACTGGATGGGATCAGAAGAGAAGGTAGTCAAATTTATTTAAAAGAGGAACATGTATTTCCATCAAAAGTTTTAAGCTGTTTTTTTTTTCAACTTTCATTTAATAAATATAAATTTCCAAAGTACAACTTTTGGATTAAGCTGTCTTATGGAAGCATCATAGCTTCATGCTGTGCATTCAATTGGCACTCAGTAGATGCCCTCAATAAATAGCACATGAATTAATGAGTCCAATCCAAGAATTTGGAGTGACATGATAGGGATCTTATTAATATACAAAAACTAAAACCCAGATACAGGTGGTATTGTCAACATCCAAGAAAAATACAGAAATGGGTCTCCAATAAAGGAATTTTTATTTGGGGATAAAACATTAAAATACAAGTGCAGCTGGCACACTGGCATAGACCGGATGGCCTTGGGTAGGTCTGGGGAACAACGAAATGGTGCAGCTTTACTGGGGAAAGACAGGCTCTTGGAGAGAAACTCATGCACTGCGTGCTGTCGTGGCTGCAGTGACTACTCAGGTTCCAAGGTAAAAGACTAGGGAAACTGGCCGGCGCTGCGGCTCACTAGGCTAATCCTCCGCCTAGCGGCGCCGGCACACCGGGTTCTTGTCCTGGTCGGGGCGCCGGATTCTGTCCCGGTTGCCCCTCTTCCAGGCCAGCTCTCTGCTGTGGCCCGGGAGTGCAGTGGAGGATGGCCCAGGTGCTTGGGCCCTGCACCCCATGGGAGACCAGGAGAAGCACCTGGCTCTTGGCTCCTGCCATCGGATCAGCGTGGTGCGCCGGCTGCAGCGCGCCGGCCGCGGCGGCCATTGGAGGGTGAACCAACGGCAAAAGGAAGACCTTTCTCTCTGTCTCTCTCTCTCACTGTCCACTCTGCCTGTAAACAAAAAAAAAAAAAAAAAAAAAAAAAAAAGACTAGGGAAACTGGTCTTTGCAAAAATTATTTACTTTCATTTATTTGAAAGGCAGAAAGAAATAAAGACACACACACACACGAGAGAGAGAGAGACAGAGAGAGAATCTTCCATCTACTTGTTCACTCCTCGTACTCCTACAACAGCAGGGCTGGGCCAGGCCAAAGCCAGAAACCTGGAAATCAATCCAAGTCTCCCATGTGGATGGCAAGGATCCAGGTAGTTGAACCATTACCTGCTGCTTCCCAGGCACAGCAGGAAGCTGAATCGGTAGAGGAATTGAGGCTTGAACCCGTGCAGTCTGATACCAGCTGCAGGCATCCCCAACAACAGTGACTTAAGCTATTGCACCAGGCATCCACCCCGGAAGCTGTTCTTAAGTCATCTAATCTGGTGGTAGCCACACGGGGTTTCATGGAACACTGAGCTCAAGGTGGCTTAATTTCCTGGGGTCCTACGCTTCGTTTAACAAGAAGCGTTCTTAGCTAAAGAAGTCTGAGAAGCTACCATCCCAAGGACAGCAGGGGTGCAGGGCCAGGACAAACAATGAGGGAAGGGAACAGGCTGATCCGCTCCTCCCACCCCTTTTCAATGGCACTCAGTATTTCCACCCGGCTTCACTTCAGTGAGGCACAAGCAGAGGAAGAAATCTTAACTTGGGCAAAGGTCGAGGGCTGCCATCCAGATTTCCGGGGCTTCCTGGTCATGACATGAGGTGGGGGGGAGAGGAAGCAAAGAAAGATGCCCTTCCCCTTCCACTGAGAGATTTTGGGGAGGAGGCAGGAATATCGCGTCTGTGTGGAAAATAACGAAAACAGAGATAAAGACACTGAATGTAGAAGTGAAAAAGAAATAAGTGAGTTAAAGAGTATCTTAGTGATTTCAGAAAACAAATATTGCAAAATGCTTTGGCTTCTAGTGCCTACAACTACAAGACACGTCTCCAAATGACAGACTTTCATTTCCTTCCTTTGTAATCTTGGGACTGAAGGTGAAATGTTCCTAGAGTCAAAGAAAATATTGTCTACACACCTCATTTCCTGTTGGGTGGACTCCTACCTGCCCCAGCTAACTCAGGGGCAGCCACTCTCCCTAAAGCCCCTGGTTCTTTCCTTCCAGCCCAAGCCTAGTGTGAGGACACTCAGCTCCAGGTGGGGGTGGGGGAGCTTGCTGAGCAGGGCTGGGGAAGAAGGGCGAGGTTGCTGGGATAAGACAAACTTGGCTTTTTCTTAATATGCCACTGCACATTGGTGGCGTGACCCTGGGGGGGTTACTCTAACTTCCAAACCTGTTCTCTCCTTTGTAAAATGAGAACACAACTGCTCTACCCTTTATAGGCCGATCTGAGAATTGCTCAAAGGGGTATCTGTGAACCGCTTGTCTACCCGTTAAGGGCCACCCATCGCTAAAATGGAAATGCATCCTCAACCTTCAGCCATTCAAATGCAAGGCCTCTGGCTTCCCTTGGAATACAAGGATCAACCAAAAAGTGCATGGGAAAATGGAATTAAGAGATAATTTTATTTTGATGCAAACTGTGGCAGGCTCCTGGTAATGAGAAAGGCCCCAGTGAAAATCCCCAGCAGTAAAGAATCCAGTAGCGATGGAAAAGCCCCTAGCCTGTAGCACTCTGCCTCTGATAGGTACCTCCTGGATTGTAATCCGCATCGCATCTCTTACTTGCCTGCCAGCCCCTTGCATGTATTTTAATAAGCCTACCTGCTCACTTCTCTCTGCTCTACTGCTGGGAATTCCTTCACCACTTGGGACCCAATCTTTGAAATCCATGCAGTTTTTTTTTCTTAATATGCATTTTCATGAACTTTTTGAAGACTCCTTGTAGACACAATTTCAAATTTGTTCTTTTTTTTTTTTTTAAAGATCTATTTACTTATTTGAAAATCAGAACCACACAGAGAGAGGAAGAGAGAGAGAGAGAGAGAGAGAGAGAGAGAGGTCTTTCAATTGTTACATCACTCCCCAAATGGCGGTAATAACTGGAGCTGGATCAGGCTGAAGTCAGGGGCCAGGAGCCTCCCCTAGATCTCCCATGTGGGTGCAGAGGCCCAAGCACTTGGGCCATCTTCTGCTGCTTGCCTAGGTGCATTAGCAGGGATCTGGATCAGAAGCTGGGAATTGAACCAATGTCCATATGGGATGCCGGCATTGCAGGTGGTGGCCCAGCCACTATGCCACAGCACTGGCCCCTGAATTTGTTCCTGCATCATAATAAACTTATCTTTTAATTCCATTTTCCACCAGCTTTTTCAAGTACTCTCGAATTTATTGCTTTGCTTTCTGCTACTTTTTCCAAGAGGTGGAGCTAGAAAGGGAGAAAAGAGCTCACGACAAGGCAGGAGAGGTCAGGAAACTTGGAGACAAAGCCAGGGAGAGAGGAGTTGCAACCAATAGTGAAGGTTAAGTGAGATTGCCAAGGGACTCTCTGGGGACCCAGTGATCAGCCGCTCCCTGCACCAGCAGAGAGAATGAGCTGGAATGCTGTAATCATGAGGAGGGGCCCATGGAAGCCCTCAGAGTTGCACTTTTCTTTCACAATAGAAAATATTCACCTTTTTAGCAACAGTGAGTGGGAAAGGACACAACTGGACCATATTTTTTTTTTTTTTTTTTTTTTTTTTTTGACAGGCAGAGTGGACAGTGAGAGAGAGAGACAGAGAGAGAAAGGTCTTCCTTTTGCCGCTGGTTCACCCTCCAATGGCCGCCGCTGCAGCCGGCGCACCGCGCTGATCCTGGCAGGAGCCAGGAGCCAGGTGCTTTTCCTGGTCTCCCATGGGGTGCAGGGCCCAAGCACCTGGGCCATCCTCCACTGCACTCCCTGGCCATAGCAGAGAGCTGGCCTGGAAGAGGGGCAACCGGGACAGAATCCGGCGCCCCAACCGGGACTAGAACCCGGTGTGCCGGCGCCGCAAGGTGGAGGATTAGCCTATTGAGCCACGGCGCCGGCTTGGACCATATTTGAATACATATAAGACTTTTACTGAAAAATGTCATACAAAACCATAAAAAACCTAAAGATTCCTGCAGGTAGGAAAGCAAACGATGTGAAAAGGCACATGTTTGCTTCAAATTTCACAAGAAGTCAGCTGACTTTTTGCACCCAATATTAAAAAAAAAATCCTTGTGCTGCTCTTTGGAAAGTGTCCTTTAAGGTTTTCTGGTCACCCTTGTTTATTCCTTTGGGGTGTGGCCGTATGATTACCAAAGAAATGCTCCTCTGAAAGTTGCAACCAACAGAAAGTTTGGTTAAAAGCAGCAGATTCCTTTGGGAGTTCCATGGACCTGCCAGACAACCATGCAAACCCCAGGAAGAGAAGCAAACAGAAGGCTTGGCTCTGGTAGGATGGCCAGAGCTGTGCTTGGCATCAAAGAGCATCATTTGAGTACAGGGCTCCTCAGCATCTTTTTTTTTTTTTTAATTTTTTGACAGGCAGAGTGGACAGTGAGAGAGAGAGACAGAGAGAAAGGTCTTCCTTTTTTTCCATTGGTTCACCCTCCAATGGCCGCTGTGCCACGGCCGGCGCATCGCACTGATCCGAAGCCAGAAGCCAGGAGCCAGGTGCTTCTCCTGGTCTCTCATGAGGGTGCAGGGCCCAAGCACTTGGGCCATCCTCCACAGCACTCCCTGGCCATAGAAGAGGGCTAGCCTGGAAGAGGGGCAACCGGGACAGAATCTGGCGTCCCGACCGGGACTAGAACCCGCTGTGCTGGCGCCACAAGGCGGAGGATTAGCCTATTGAGCCGTGGCGCCAGCCGGCTCCTCAGCATCTTAAAGACCCAGCTAGCTCCCAGGATACAGAGAAATGACGAACGCTGAGCTGGACACAGCACCCTTAGCAACGGTTTCTGCACAGAATATTTCAAATGAGCTTCTTTGTGATATGAACCCGAGTGCTTCAGCAAGTGCTTCAGCCACCTCTGAGCTTTAAGCTTGGCCTCGGAATTCATCTGGTGGCTGGGAGCTTCATTAACCTTCACCTCTAAGGAGAGGCGGAAACAGGACTCCAGGCAGCGTTTGGCTCGGGGCAGTGGGTGCCTAGCTATGGCTGTCTCCAGGTGGCTTCAGATTGCTGAGAGCGCCCTTTGCAGATGGCTTTGTTGGGAAATAAAGCAACAGTTGGGGCTAGCAGGCATCTGAGCTCAGCCAGGTTCCCCCGAATATTGGAATTGGAGTATTCACCATATCCTTGCAACCCATGTTCTTTGCGTGGTAGGAGAGAGTCCGTAAAAATCACACTAAAATATTTTCTGATGTTTCCATTTGCCTCTCTGCTGCTTCTCACCTTCTCAAAACCACTGGGAACCAGAACAGCAAAGGACAATCCAGGCAGCCATTCAGCGGCTCACACTCGTGTTCCAGGGCAGGGAAGAGAAAGTCCCGTACTGGCTTGTGATTTACCGGAGCCAAAGAGGCCTTTAGGGGAAAGGCCAGGAGTCATAGACACACCAGGTCCAGGACGTGGGCTGAATGGCGGCCGCCAGGGGGAGCCTCAGTCCCTGAGAATGGGCCTGCTCTGCCCCCTGACGGGTGGGGGGAGACCCAACTGCACCCCTCCATGCCAGGAGACAGCTTTTATGAGCACAGAGCCCTGTGCCTATCTTCCTGGGCCCCATTCCAGAAGCGAACAGTTGAGACCTGGACCTGAGTTGAGGTTTCCCTGCACCGCTGTGTCACTCACATCTTCAAGAGGGGCTTCCAGGGGCTTCGGAGGCCCCAGGGATAGAATGGGCTTGAGGGTGGCTGTAGGAACCAAAGGACCAGATGGGTCAGCGGTCACCTTGCCAGGCGTCACTGTGGGCAGACGACCCCGAGGGCCTGTGCCCTGACCCCCTGTCGCCTACTGATAGCAGGTGACCCCATCTCTCACCTCTCCAACCCCGGGACTTTGGCCTCCAGGGCACTACAGGAGAGGTCAAAGCAGTTGTATTAAGCAAAGCCCTATTTCTTTCCATACCTGAGTTTGTGGGATAAGATTTGCACATGCTCCGTGTGATTTTTACCTGTCTGTCTGCTTCCCTGACATCGCGATGAGGAACAGAAGCACGGGGCCTCACTGACAGGCTCTGCACAGCAAAACTGGTGCTGCTGCTGGACCTTAGAGCCGTCTCACTGCGCCATCCTCTCCGTTTCCCACCCAGTTTTTGGAAAAGGCCACTAAGACCCCTGCTGTCCTGCTGGCAAAGTACGGAAAGGGAAGCGCCGGCCGTGTGTTTGGAACGAGGCAAGGATCCGGTGTCTCTCCACGCACAAATGCTGTTGTTTGCATGGAATCCACGCACTGGACAAGCCAGAGATCCCGTGCAGAGAAGACTCGCAGCAGGCCTGCTCCGCCTCAGTCCTGCCCGCCGGTCAGCTTGTGAAACAGGTCCTCGTCGAGTGTCTCATTCTGGTCCTTGGAGCGGGTGGACAGGAAAATGTAGCCCCCGATGTACTCGTGCACGACCTTGCAATCCGCACTCAGGCAGGTGAACGCAATGGAGACGTTTTGGTCAAACTCGATCGCCACCTGGAGGAGGGAGGAGAGAACAGCATGGAGAGAAGCTGCACAGCAGGAAGTGACCCCTGGAGCCAGGACCGCTGACGTGGCCACCACAGGGACTTCCCCCAAAGGAGCAGGAATGGCAGTCAAGAAAACCTGTCTGCTCTCCTTGCGCCCTCTTGTGGCGCCGACTTCGCCACATTTGTAAAATCTGACTGCCAGCACGCATTCACAATGTAGGTTCTGTCTCTCTTCTTTAGATTGAGAAACTTCCCAAACAATGCCTGTGTTGAGGGTCAGGATGTTTTGCAGACTCTTTCCTGGAAAGTATAAGGTCTTCCCAAATTTCCCAACAGCCACTGCCCTGTGAACCTTCCCAGCTGAAGGTCATAAACCAGAAGCACGGGGAGAGCTGTCACTGGTTCTCAGCCTGAACTGTCTGCAGGAGTCACCCGAGCAGCTCTAATGATGTCTGACATTCAGCTCCCACCCCAAGCCTGATGTAAGTGGTCTTTGGCATGGCGTGGGCAGTGGCATGTCAAAATTCCCCAGATCTAGGCCGACCTTGTGGCGAGGCTGGTTAAGCCACCACCTGAGCCCCAACATCCCATAGGGGGCTGGTTTGAGTCCAGGCTACTCCACTGCAGATCCAGCTTCCTGCTAACGCCCTGGGAAAGCAGCAGAAGATGGCCCAAGTCCTTGGGTCCCTGCACTCCACAGAGGATGAAGCTGCCTGCCTCCGCCTGGCCCAGCCCTGGACGTTGTGGCCATTTGGGGAATGAACCAGCAGATGGAAGATTTCTCTCTCCCTGAGCCTCCTCTCTCTTTCTGTAACTCTGCCTTTTAAATAAATAAATAAATAAATAAAATTTAAAAAGAAAAAACCTCCCCAGATGATTGAAATATCCACCAAGATTTTAGAGCCACTGCCTTAGAGGTTATCTAATCTCAGAGCTTCATTCTACAAACGAGGGCCCCGGTGGTTATCAGCATCCTGCGTTCTTAAAAACAAGTGTGGGTCACCTACCACCTGCTGCGTTGTAGGTTTTCTTTTCTTTCTTTTCTTTTTTTCTTTTTTTTTGACAGGCAGAGTGGATAGTGAGAGAGAGAGACAGAGAGAAAGGTCTTCCTTTTGCCATTGGTTCACCCTCCAATGGCCGCCACGGCTGGTGCGCTGCGGCCGGTGCACCGCACTGATCCAAAGGCAGGAGCCAGGTGCTTCTCCTGGTCTCCCATGGGGTGCAGGGCCCAAGCACTTGGGCCATCCTCCACTGCCTTCCTGGGCCACAGCAGAGAGCTGGCCTGGAAGAGGGGCAACCGGGAAAGAATCCGGCGCCCCGACCAGGACTAGAACCCAGTGTGCTGGCGGCGCTAGGCGGAGGATTAGCCTATTGAGCTGCGGCGCCGGCCTGTAGGTTTTCTATTGGGAAAATGAGAGCATTCCGTCATGGGGGAGCAACATCAGCTTGCTTTCAATTAGCAATAGGTGCCAGAGTGCCTCTGACTTCACCTGAGTAACTCCCCATGGTTTTAGTCCCAGGGTGGGACATCATGGGAGGCTGTAACCCAGGCTAAGTCACAGGAAGCTAAGCTATTCTCAGGTATCCCTGTGCACCCCACCTGCAGGTTTCCTCTCTGGGGACTGAACTGCTCTCCTGGGTGTAACTGAACTTTTCAGTTCTCAACCAGTTAGATGTCTTGGCAGCCAGATGGATGGGGATTTATTTCATAATGTTCAGGATTTATTTCATACAACAGTCACATTCAGGTGGTTTCTGCTGAGGGATTATCATCAGTCTAAGTCTCATGCAATCCTATACTGGGTCGAAGAACATTAAATTACTCAGCAATTTTAGAGTCTGTGCAGAACATCTGCCCGGAGACCAAGCCAGCTGGCAGTGTTACTTCAAGAACATCTGGCCTGTACTTGCTAGGAGGCTGCCTGGAATTACAGGTGATTGTGTTAACAGACAACTATTGTAGCTTGTGGCTTCTTAGCTCTAAACATAAGGATGCCTTTGTAAGATCAGAAAATCTGTAACCCTGTGGAAACATAGGTTCACAGGCTCAACACAAATATCAGCAACCTTCGCATTACCTGTCTGATTTCCCAGTTGACATTCCACTGTTTCATATTTGTGAATCTCCAGGTTGTAATTGGAACCCCAGTGACTGCATCGATTCTAATCAATCTATTATAGGAAACTCCCAGAATGTCGTCTTTTTTGCTTCCTTTAAATCTGAAAAAAATTATATTAGTCAAGAGAAGCAACTTTCCACTCACATGCAACTTCTTAAGGATTAGAGAACAAGCTGCTACAGGAGATAATTAAAGCCATCCTGAAGAATTCTTTAAGTGAAACTGACATCAGAGGAAAGTAAGCTAAGAAGTCAAATCAACTCACTCAAAGCTGGTGCCAAGTGTGTATGCCAGGCACCCTCTGGGCCCCAGGGATTCAGTGGTGAACTAAGTGTGTAGAGCTGATTCTCATGAGGGAGTGACCCAGGAGGAAGTCTAGGGAGAGGGTATCCCAGGCAGAGGGCATAGCCACTTTTTCTGTTTGTGTTTTGCTTTATTCTGCATGCTGCAGGACCTGCTAGGTGGCCAAGGTGACTGTAACAGAGGAGGAGGGGGAGGAGCTTGAGGTAGAGAGCACAGCTCTTGTAGTCTATTGCAAGGACTTGGCGTTCCCTCTGGGTGAGACAGGGAGCCTTCACGTGGCACTGAGCAGAAGCCTGACATGGTCTGACTTCAACTTTAAAAGGATCATTCTGGCTACAACACTGGCAAGGAGATCAGGTGGGATCTCTGTGGAATAGGCCCACAAGTTGTGGTGAAGGTGCTAAGAAGTGGTCAAGAGGTGGGCATTGTGGTGCAGTCTCTTTGTGTGTCTCTTTCTGTTGCTCTACCTTTCAAATAAATAAGAAGTGGCCATATACCCTGTATGCTTTAAAGACAGATCAATGGGATTTGGTGATGGACAGGACATTGGTATAAGAGAAGGAGCAGTGCCAAGGATGACCCTAAGGTGGGGTTGGTGCTGTGGCATAGTAAGTAAAGCATCTGCCTGAAGCACTGGTGTACCATATCGTCACATATGGGTACTGGTTTGAGCTCTGGCTGCTCCACTTCCGATCCAGCTCCTTGCTAATGACCTGGGAAAGCAGTAGAAGATGGCCCAAGTGCTTGGGCCTCTGCACTCGCATAAGAGACCTGGAAGAAGCTCCTGGCTCCTGGCTTTGGATAGGCCCAGCTCCAGCCATTAAAGCCACTTGGGGAGTGAATTGGTGGATGGAAGACCTCTCTCTGTAACTCTACCTCTCAAGTAACATAAATCTTAAAAAAAAATGACCCCAAGGGATTTGGCTTGACTATCTGGAGGGAGGGGTTGCCACTTAATGGAGATGCAGAAGAATGCAGGGTGAGCAGGTCTGGGGGAAATATCCGGAGTTTTGGACATGTTAAGATGGGATGTCTGAATGGGAGAAAATATTTGCAAATTATGCAACTGATAAAAGATTAATAACCAGAATCTACAAAGAGATCAAGAAACTCCACAATGACAAAACAAACAACCCACTTAAGATATGAGCCAAGGACCTAAATAGACATTTTTCAAAAGAGGAAATCCAAACGTCCAATAGACACATGAAAAAATGTTCAGGATCACTAGTAATCAGGGAAATGCAAATCAAAACCACAGTGAGGTTTCACTTCACCCCAGTTAGAATGGCCCTCATACAAAAATCAACTAACAACAGATGCTGGCGAGGATGTGGGGAAAAAGGCACACTAATCCACTGTTGGTGGAAATGCAAACCGGTAAAGCCACTATGGAAGACAGTTTGGAGATTCCTCAGAAACCTGAAAGTAGCCCTACCACATGACCCAGCCATCCCACTCCTCAGAATTTACCCAAAGGAAATTAAATTGGCACATAAAAGAGCTATCTGCACCTCAATGTTTACGGCAGCTCAATTCACAATAGCTAAGACTTGGAATTAACCTAAATGCCCATCAACAGAAGACTGGATAAAAAAATTATGGGCTATGTACTCTGTAGAATACTACACAGTGATAAAAAAAATGAAATCCGGTCATTAGCAACAAAATGGAGGAATCTGGAAAATATCATGCTGAGTGTAATAAGCCAGCCCCAAGGGACAAATATCATATGTTCTCCCTGATCTGTGACAACTAACTGAGCATCTAAAAGGAAACCTGTAGAAGTGAAACAGACACTATGAGAAACAATGACTTGATCAGCCCTTGTCCTGACTGTTGAGGAACAGCTTAGTATTTTATTCTTTTTAGTATTTTCTTATTCTACTTAATACTGTTGGATGAACTCTTTAATTAATACACAAGTATTCTTAGGTGTTTAAAGTTAACTGAAAATTTATCCCTGTTAAAAATAAGAGTGGAGGATGGCGCCACAGCTCACTAGGCTAATTCCCTTCCTGCGGCGCCGGCACACCGGGTTCTAGTCCCGGCCAGGGCGTTGGAATCTGTCTCGGTTGCTCCTCTTCCAGTCCAGCTCTCTGCTGTGGCCCGGGAGTGCAGTGGAGGATGGCCCAAGTGCTTGGGCCCTGCACCCCCATGGGAGACCAGGAGAAGCACCTGGCTCCTGGCTTCAGATCAGCGCGGTGTGCCGGCCACAGCGTGCACCGGCTGCGGCGGCAATTAGGGGGTGAACCAATGGAAAAAGGAAGACCTTTCTCTCTGTCTCTCTCTCTCACTGTCCACTCTGCCTGTCAAAAAAATAAATAAAAAATAAAAAAGAAGGTTGAACTTGGTGTGGGGTTTCAGCCTGAAAAAAAAAAAAAAGAGTGGGAATAAGAGAGGGAGGAGATGTACAGTTTGGCACACACTCATTTGGGCTTACCCCTAATGGTAGAGCAGGAAATGTGCCATGGAATTCCAAATCTCATTAAGTTGGCATGTACTAATGCCATCTTACTATTAAAGTGATCAGTTTAAGTTCATAATTGATCGTAAAGATAGGATTAAGTGCCAAAGGGATCACATAAATAAGACCAGTGTCTGCTAGTAATAACTTACAGAATTTAAAAGGAGAGAACGATCCAACGTAGTAAGCAGGATACACAGCAGACTCATAGAATGGTAAATGCCCTAAACAGCACTCTGGCCTCAGAATTAGCCCTTAAGGCATTAGGATCTGGCTAAAAAAGTCCATGAGAGCTTCTCAGGCATGGAAAGCCAAGACACTGTGGCAAAAATATGAAAATATGAAAGATCTGAAAAGATGGAAGACCTATACGAAAGATCTCTGTGAGTGTGATCCCAGTAAGGAATGGGCCATCAAAGAAGGAGGTACCTTTCTCTGAAGGGAGAAGAGAACTTCCACTTTGACTATGGCCTTGTCTAAATAAGATTGGAGTTGGTGAACTCAGGAGGCTTCCATGGCCTTAGCCGCTCATGACAAGAGCCTCAGCTGATTACTGACGTCATAAATAAGAGTGTCAATCATTAAATCAACAACAGGAGTCACTGTGCATTTGCTCCCCATGTAGGATTTCTGTCCTTAATGTGCTGTACTATGTGAATTAATGGTAAAACTAGTATTCAAACAGTACTTTATACTTTGTGTGTCTGTGTGGGTGCAAACTGTTGAAATCTTTACTTAGTATATACTAAGTTGATCTTCTGTATATAAAGAAAATTAAAAATGAATCTTAATGAAGAATGGAATGGGAGTGGGAGTAGGAGATGTGATGGTTTGTGGGTGGCAGGGTGGTTTTTTGGGGAAAAACCACTATAATCTAGAAGTTGTCCTTTCAAAATTGATATTTATTAAATAAAAGTTTTCTAAAAAAATAAAGACGGGATGTCTATTAGCGATCCAAGGGTAGATAGATTTATGAATTTGTAGTTCAAGAGAGAGAGAGAGTTCTGGGATTAGCATTCAAGTGAACCAGCAGATTGACTGAGCCCAAGCAGATGGGTATAGTTTGAGAAGAGAAGTGCTTCAAGAACTGAGGTTTGGGCACTCCAGTATTATAAAAAGTTGGGAGGATGAGAAAGAACAAAGGAGAACAAAAGAACTGGCCAGTGAGGGAGGAGGAAAACCGAAAGTTGGCTCTCCTGGGTCAAGGGGGAGGGCATGGATTCAGCAAAGCAAAGGTCATGGGTGCCAATGGGTGACCTTGATGAGAGCAAGTGCAGAGGCCTTGGGAGGGCTGACTGGAATGTGTTTAAGAGAGAAAGGAAGTGGAGACAGCAAGTAGGTATAACACACTCAAGAAGTTCTGCTGTAGGAGCAGAGGTTTGGCCTAGTGGTTAAGATGCCTGCATTCCATATTGGAGTGCCTGGGTTCAATACCCATCTTGGGCTCCCAGCTCCAACTTCCTGCTAATGCAGGCCCTGGGAGGCAGCAGCAGGGGACAGCTCTCCCCGCCACCCACAGGGGAGACCTGGATTGACTTTGCAGCTGCTGGCGTTGGCTTCAGCTCAGTCTTGGCCACTGTGGGTATTTGGGGGAGTGAATAAGTGGATGGACACATGCACACTCCCTCTCTGTTTACCTGTCTCTCTGCCTCTCAAAGAATTTAATAAAAATAATGAATAAAGGGTTCTGCTGACAAGAGGGGCAGAGGTCGGGGACTCTGGAGGGAACAGGAGGCTGGGAAGCTGCTGTGAAAATGGATGGAGCAAAGAGAGAAAAATACCATTTGAGAGAAACAGTCCTAGTTGGATAAGTGACTTCCACACTTTTCTACCTCCTCCTTATCACCCTTGATTCAAGTTTACTCCACTCTTCTTAAATCATTTAATTATTTATTCTGCCACCTTAATCCTATCAACACAAGTTTATCTGTTTCTCTCTGACCTCTGGGAACCCCCCCTCCCCAGGCCTCTCCCCAGCCTCCAGGGAACTGTGAAACAGAGACCCGGCTTCCCCTGGGGTGCACAGGGCATGTGTGTATGTGTGTGTATACACATGCTCATGTCTGTACACATGTCAGTGTCCAGCACAACACCACCCTTCCTTACTCTTTTGCTGGGATGAATAACGCAGGAGTTGCTTGTTTGGGATAGACATGGGGGGACAGATGTTAAATGAGAGATTTTTATGACCAGCTGGGTCTTTGGAAATATTCAAGAAAGACAATGAAAACTCTAGTTTCCTAGAAGCCAGTACATTAAGATGCAAGTCAAGGCTGCAGTCCCCACATGATAAAATGAGAAAGCACTGGAGAGTACTTGCTGCACTACAGGGTTAAGTGTAGGTGTTGCTTCAATATGAACCTGACTGAACTAAATAACACACTTTGATTTACATGCACGCTGTGGAACACATTTTGGGAAATCCTTCATTTTACACCAGAGGCAGCGCCGCCATGCTCAGTGGGCTCAGGAATACAGACACTGGGTTCTGCTGCCATGGCATGCCCTTGACTGGGAGGGCACCTGGACACGATGCAGAAGTTCTTTTCCTCTGTCTCAGTGTAAAAGAGAAGGGGGCAATAGCTGGGTCCCCTACAGAGTCTCTAGGCTCAGAAATCTCCAGAGACCAATGGGAACAGGAGCGCTACCTGATAAGGCTGGGTGAAGGCAAGACACAGAGTTTGCTGAGATGTCTTAGTCTAGAACCCTGCAAACTCTGCAGAGCCACACTGCAAGATGTGGTGTGAGAAATACAGCAGCAAATAAGAGCCAGACGTGGAGGGAGGCCACAGACCTCCTACACTGAGAGTTGACATTCTCGGTCTGCTTTTGCAAATGAAATCTCTTTACATATTTTAAAATTTCCTTTTGCACATGTAGCAGAGTTTAAGAGGGATTTTGACACCTTGAAAGGAGGGTATGGGAGATTGTTACGAGCAGGGGGAGAGTCTGGGCCATTTGTGAAAGGGCAGTGTTAGCAAAGACTTCCATGTTCTAGCCTATGTGAGAATAAACCCGGCTCCCAGAAGCTTTTTAACATGACACGGACAGCGAGAGAGGCAAGCCGTGGTGTGATCACCTGACAAGGTAGTAGGTGAGGCCGAATTCAGGTAGGGACTGCCACGCCTGGATGAACCGCAGCTTGGCTTCGACCAGGGGCATCTGGGCCACGTTCTGGTGGGCTTCCAGGATCCGGGCCGCCAGCTGAGCAGAAACAGGAGACATCACTGACCGCGCCCTGATCGGTCCCTCACCCCCCCCCCCCCCCCCCCCCCCGGGCACAGTAAATGCGATGGCTGCTTGCAGCCCGACAAAGACCACTCCTTCTCCTCCACCCCTCCTCGCTCACTCTGGCTTTGTCTGCAGTGATGCCGGAGCATCACTGGGGAGAAGCAAGAGTGAGGTGAGCTAGCACACAAGCTTGTAGGGCTCATGGGAATGCAGTGTCTTGGGGTCCCTCTTGCTGGGGTTTGTGGAGAATCCATGGACAATAGTTCCACGGAGTTATTGTTGTTTCATTTTCTGTGAAAGAGAGAGAGAGAGAGAGAGAGAGAGAGGGAGGGAGAGGGAGAGGGAGAGAGAGAGGGAGAGGGAGAGGGAGAGGGAGAGGGAGAGGGAGAGGGAGAGGGAGAAGGAGAAGGAGAAGGAGAAGGAGAAGGAGAAGGAGAAGGAGAAGGAGAAGGAGAAGGAGAAGGAGAGAACTTTCCATTCATTGGTTTACTTCCGAAATGCCTGCAACAGCCAGGGCCGGGCCAAATCCAAGAGCCCAGAACTCAGTCTGGGTCTCCCATATGGTTGGCAGAAATCCAAATACTTGAGCCATCACTGCTGCCCCCAGGGTGCACATTAGCAGGAGGCTGGAACCAGAAGTGGAGCTGGGACTTGAACCCAGGCACTCTGATATGGAATGTAGGTATCCCAAGCTGTATCTTAACTCCTATGCCAAATGCCCACAACTTAGCTTTGATCTTGTGGGTTCTGAGTAATTTTTAAAAAATGTTTATTTAATTTTATCTACTTGAAAGGCAGAAGGAGAGAGAGAGAGAGAGAGAGAGAGAGAGATCTTCCATTTGCTGCTTCACTCCCCCAATGCCCACAACAGCCAGGGCTGGGCCAGGCCAGAACCCTGGAGCTTCATCTGGGTGTCCCATGCTGGTGGAAGTGGCCCAAGCACTTGAGTCACCATCTGCTGCCTCCCAGGATGCATTAGCAGGAAGCTGAGACTTGAACCAGCACCTTGATTCTGGATGTGGGTGTCCCAAGTAGCAGCCTAACCAGCTGTGCCATAATGCCCAGCCTGAATCATTTTATGCTTCATTAAGCTCAATATTGTAATATTGCCACATGCAGTCAGTAGCAAAGTCATTTGATGCAAAATTAACAATAATTTCCAATATCACCTAGTACCCAGCAGACAAATTTTTCTATCAACTGATTTTTCATGATGATGGCCTTAGAGAGATTCCTCCTTTTATTCCAGAACTCAAAGAATTTTCTGCCAACCAATGCACTAATAAGAGTAGCAGTACCTGTTTAGATTTGTGTTTTTTTGCACACCGAGGCGACACAAAACACTCCGGATTCATGTCCATGCTCTCGACACTGGAAGTCGCCTGAGATGATACATTCCGGTTTTTCATCCTCAAAAATGAAAGGATGTTGAGAACCTCTGGCTGGTAGGAGCTGTCTGCCATGGTTTTGCCCTTGGAGGCCAGGATGCAGGCAGCCATCCATTGGGCATATTGGTTCTCCTGTGGCAAACACAAGAGGGCTGAGAGGCAGGTTCAAGTGCAAAGCCACTGTGCCACAAACAAAGCAGGACTTGGGCTTTCTTCCTGGTCACAATACAAAGCCATCACCATCCACAAAGGAAAGAGGTGCACCCGTTCTGAGCGGCTGTTGGCCACCTACACTGACACTCAGTGCTCAGTGGAGTTTCTAGATGCTGTCAATAGGACAGGAATGTCGGCTCTGATAAATTCCACACAGGGAACTTCATGTTTAAAGACAGTTCAAGGACACAAAGGAGCACCGTGGAGCACAGGCAGGTGGACCCTCCCACTCCCTGACAGTCTTCCCTGATCTATGCAGGCACACGCCGCATGATACCACCAGATAGATGACAGCGCTTCCATGGGTTTACAATAGATCTGAAAAACTCCTATCAGGTAGTGACATGGTTGCCATCATAATGTCATAATGTAATGCATCGCTCATGTGTTTGCGGTAACACTGTGTGGAAAGAACCTCTGACCATCATATAAGAGCACAGCACACACGGTCATGGGCAGTACATAATACTCGATATTAAGTGAGATTGCTACCATTTTATGCATTGGCTCCACTTTGCTCATTACTTCATAGTCTACTCCTTCTACTTATTGCAAAAAAGGTGACATGACAGTGTGCTGAGTCATGCTGGCAGCAGTCTCGTGCGTCTTGTGCTGGCCTGGTGTCTTGATGGCAGCTGAGGCCACGCTGAGTGACCGACCTACAGTGTCTAAGTTTGCTCAAGTGCACTCTGTGATGTTCACACTGATGAAATCGCCTGATGACACATTTATCAGATCCTTGTCTGGTTGTTAAGCAATGCATGCCTGTATTTCCATTTTCATAGCATGTCTGATTTCTGTGCAAAAAGAAAATGCTGGAAAAAAATCTTAACTGATTTCCTGTATTATTTGTGGCCTGGTTTATCCTATGTCAAGATTCTAATCCTAAGGTTGCAATCAGGGCCACTGGTGGTGGCTTCTGTCTTTCTGTGAGGCCTTCGCTCATCTCTGACCTGTGCGGGAGAACAGGAGTGGGCCCCGGAAGCTGAGGGGATGCAGTGAACAGAGGGATTGCTCCGAGCTGCAGTAGGTGTGGGACACAGAATTACTGGTCTCAGTCTGTAGTGCCTCCCCTCCCTCCGTGTCCGTACTCTTTGCTGTGCAACTCCATGGTCCCTCCCAGCAGAGCCAGGATACACTTCCTGTCCCTTGACTGTAGGCTTGGCTTTGGCCATGGCTGGAAGTGACAGTGTGCCGATTTCAGGTCTAAGCTATAGGAAGCCTCGTACGTTCCCAGTTGTGCTCTTGCACTTCTGCCATCCCTAGAAGAAGCGCCTCACCCTGGCAGCCTGGGGCCCAGAATAAATACAATCAGGTCAACCTACAACAGGGTCTAACCAGACCTGATGTCCAAGCAGACCTGAGAAGTTGACACCAGCCTGGATCATCCAACCACCAGCCTAACCGCAGCCTGACCGCAGGTCCTTCAGAAACGAATGCTGACTGCTGAGTGGGAGTCTGAGACATCGTGATTATTAGAAAGCAATAGCTGAGAGATACACGGTGCTCTTGCTTTGAGAAAACATCTATAAGTTTGACTATTGGGCCTATCGAAGGTGAACTGGCTTAGAATTTTTGTGGTTTTACTTACATGGTCACATCTCAAATATACTTCATTCATGCCATCAGCTACGGGGATCAGTAACTTGATTCCAAATTTTCTCCCTGCCACATTTACATCTGGCACGACTTCACAGCCTGAGGACGAAAGGCAGGGGCAAAACCGAGTCGCGATCAGTCTGTAACAGGAATATCAGCCATGCACTGAAAAGAACAAAAGCTTTACACGTTTGGTTCTTATCTGAAAAACAGAAGGGCAAGCTGATAACATTAATTAAAGGACAACTAAATGAGAATTAGGGATAATTCACATGGATGAAGAAAAATTATTTTCTCCAATCATAAAATCAATTGAATTTATTTTCCAGGGTTTTGTTAGCTATTGTAAGTCATAGGAAAAATTGTGAGCTGTAAAATAAATCCAGGCAGAGGGAATTCTTTGATGGTCACCACGCTGAGAGAGTTGAGCACACTGGTTATTGAAACATTTCAATTAACAGAGAATTACCACTACATTATCAGCCATTTTCAAAAATCAGACTTGGCATTAAAGTGACATCAAATTAAACATGATTGCTTCTGAATCCAGGTTTTTCTGGATCCCACAATGCTCATGTGCCACACTTATGGACGCGATCACCACTATGTCTCGGCCAATGGACAGATTGGGAAAGAGGAGTCAGTGGAGGGCAAACAGCCAGACCTGCCACACCAAGTTCAAGGTCCCTGCCTCATGAGAAAGAGGAGCTGCAGGCGGGCTGTCATTGCCACACGGTTCCTCTAGAAGCAACTCTTGCTCTGTTTCACAGGAGTCATGTCTTCATTCTGCTTGCTGCACCATGACAAGCCATGGCCAGGCATAGGGCGCTCTTACCTCTAAGATTCAGCTTTTCTATTGGCTCTCCTTGTTCAACTTCCTTATTTTTAAAGTAGGCTATGGATGTGTCTTTGAAGACGAACCAATATTGTTTGAAAGCTTTTAACATTAGCTTCTTGGGCCTGAAAGTAAAAGTACAGTGAATGTTGAAAGCCCTGTTTAGAGACGTGGGACACATTCAAATTCTGAGCAGATCAAAATGGCTTTGCCAAATAGCAGTGCTCTTTATTTTTAAAAACATTTTCTCAAACGACTGGTTCATTTCTCAAAACTGCAAATGAGGCGTTGCTATGAGATGAAGAAGTTAGTGGAAAGGACCGAGTCGCACCATCTGGGTCCACACCCTGACTCTGACCTGTTCCCCTGAGAGAGGCACTGCATCTTCACTGTGGACAGGGACGGGGCAGTCTCCACATCTCATGGCTTCTGTCAAAATGGAATGAGGTTATCCACATGAAGTGCTCGTCACAGTCTCTGGCACAACCGCCACGCTGCTGAGAAATCTACACGAATGTGGTGACGGGAAATCTCAGCACGCTTCTGGGAGCTGAAAGATCGACAGGAAATGAGCAACTTCTCCTGTATTTTCCTCTTGATCCTTAAGAGAAAGCACTAGAGAATTCCAGAGGGCCACAGGAAGGTTGGCAGTGCTAATGGCAGGTGTACAGCTTGGGTTATTCAAATAGGAGATGAGAAACAAAGGTAGGAGGTAGGAAAAGGGACAGAAATAGGTAAAGGAAAGAAAAATGAGCTGCATGTGATTCAGTAGAACAATCCTGGCCTTGGGGGCAGAGCAGGCATCTTATGCCAGAGTTGTGGATTTCTGTGTTTAAGAATGGCAGAGAGGATGTGAAGGTGCCACTTGGATACCCACAATCCCATACTGGAGTGTCTGGGTTTGCATGTGTGTGTGTGGGGGGACCTTGTATCACTGGTTCACTTGTCAAATGGCCTGAAATATCTGAGGTCAAAGCCAGGAGTCAGGAATTCCATCTCCATCCAGGTCTCCCACATGGGTAGCAGGGACCCAAGTAGTTGAGCCATCACCTGCTGCCTCCCAGGGTACACACTGACAGGAAGCTGGATTGGAAGTGGAGGTGGACCTGGATCCCAGGCAGTCTGATCCAGCATGCAGGTGTCAGGTGCTGCTTAATCTGCTGCACCAGAACGCCTATCTCATTCACATAATTCTAAGGAATATATTTAAGAGATTTGTCTAATACTAAGATTCTCCAAAATTAATATTTTCAAAAGAAAATCTAAAGACACAGTCTGTAACCAAAAGGTATGGTCAGCAAGGTCTTTAGTCCTAAGCATCTAAATATTTCTCTTCATAATTAAGAATGAAACACTCCATTATAACTGGAATGAAAGAGTCTCACCAGAGCTCAAATTCCTTTGTGCATCTTGTAGCCTGCTTCCAACTCATTCACATAGCTAATACTTACTGCTCAAATTCTACACTCCAGAGACTGAAGGGGGTCAGGGGAGGGGAAGGGAGAAGAGGAGGTGGTTGGGAAGGGGATAATGTGCAGTCAGCTCTCTGTATGATCAGGTTCCCAATCCTCAGATTGAAACAACTGCAGATTGAGAATATTAGAACAAAATGCATTTGTCTGACCACGTACAGACTGTTTTCTTTGTCATGATTCCCTAAACAGTGTAACATCTATTTACATAACACTTACATTGTATTAGGTATTGTAAGTAACCCACAGATGATTAAATGTGCACCGGAGGATGTGTGTAGGTTATCGGCAAATGCTATGCCATTTTATATCAGGGACTTGAGCACCCATGGATTTTGGTATTTGTGGGGGTCCTGGAAGAAAACTCCTGTGGATACTGTGAGTTTAGATGCTGACTGAACTCAAGAATAAGACAGTCTCTTCATTCCTCATGGGACTCATAGTTTAAAGGGAGAAAAATACAAAATAGGTGAAAAAAAACAAAACTTAGTATAGTACATAACAAGGGTGTGGGGAGTACTGGTGAATTCACTGAGGTCGCAGCACTTAACCCAAGAACGATGGATGAATGGGACTTAACAGGCAAAGTGCAGAGTGCAGTCAGTGCTGGCCAAGCTTTCCTTCAACACCTGCCCTGTGCTGAGTCCCAGGAACCAGGAGGGGGTGGTTTCTGTGGTAGCAGCATTTTCCTGGCTGGAGAATGATGGTGACAATCCCAGCAAGGCCGGTTAGAGCTGGACTTCAGGTGGTGTTTACCAGAATCAAAGGCAGCCAGTTAGAAATGCTCGAGGCCAAGAGGGTTCCAAGAGGGCGGAATAGGGAGGGAGCTTACTGATATAGTCCAGGAAAAGATAGTTTAGTAAAAGTGGAGATAGTGTGGTCTCAAAGAAGAATTAGGAAAAAACTGCAGAGGAAACTCTTCCGTAATTAGAGGAACATGGTGGATCTACATGGAGGGTGTGGGTGCCCATGGCTCGGGACCCTAGCTGCTGAGAGCCTCTGCACCAGCGCTTTAAAGCAAGGATGAGATGAAACTGCAGTAGCCCAAGACACTGGCAGAAAAGCAGCAGGAATAGCCTAGAGGGAACGAGGCTTGAAGCCCTGTGGGGGAAAGTACACCAGCCTAACTAGAGAAGAGAAAAAATAAAAGGGATGGTACAGACACGATTCTCTCTCTCCAATCACCTTACAAAAGCATACAAGCTGATAGAGCAGGTGCCATTTTGGACATATGTGACAGCTGCGCCAGCTTGGGGCTACACCGGCAATCGGCTGAGCAGAGAAACCTGACTCTGATGGGGAGCAGTAACAGAAAACTAAGACCTAGTAACTGTGTGGAGCTTTTGAATAGGGACTGTTAAAAAAAAAAAAAAAACAAAACAGGGTGTGTGGGAGAATTCACGGTGTGGCTGAGATTTTGAGTAGTCTTGGTGGGAGATGCCATGAGCTCTGGCGGCCCTGGCTACCTGGTGAGGGACATTGCAGGGGAATCTGAGCTTACATTGAGGACTGCACAGATCCTTTGTGTGGTCCTTGGGACAGAACAGATGAATGCAATACCCACTGGGGCTCACACTCAGGCACTGATCGCCGTCAAGGAGAAGAGCTCAGCTGAGGGGAATTACTTCCCTTCTGATAAAAAGAGAGAGAGAGAGAGAGAGAGAGAGAGAGAGAGAGAGAGAGATTTACCATGCTAAACCTGGGTGTGTCACCTTAAGCACACCCTTAACCCTGAAGAACTGAACAGAGCTCTCTGGCCACCCACTACAAGCCCCTAGAGATTCATGAAAGCAGCCAATCCACTTATCTACAGATCATAGTACAATGAGAAAAGCCACCACAGTGGAAAACAAAAGGAATAAACCATCAAGTATCTCCACAAATGCTGAACAACAAATGCAACAACCCAAGAAACAAGAATAAGGAAGACAACATCATGCTCCCAAAATAACATGATAATTCAATACAGGATTATGAAGATGATGAGATAGAAGAAATGCAAGAAATGGAACTAAAAAAATTGATGATAAGAATACTTAGAAGTAATCAAAAAACAAGCACACAAACTACTGAAATCCATGCAGGACATGAAAGAAAATGTCTCCCATGAAAATGAAATCTTAAGGAGGAATAAAAATGAAATGAAGAATTCAATAGAACATGAAATTGAAATATTGAAGAGAAATCAAAATGAAATGAAGAATTCAATAGAACAAATAAAAAATACAGTTGAGAGCCTTAAAAACAGAATCAGTGAGGCAGAGAGAGAATATCGGACTTAGAAGACAGAGCACAGGAAACTATACAGTCAAACCAAAGACAAGAAGAGGAAATTATAAATCTAAAAAAAAAAATGTTGGGAATCTATAGGATACTATTAAAAAAACCAAAATTCGGGTTCTGAACTCTTCAGGAGTTTCTGAAGGCTTGGAGAGAGAGAGAAAGGATTAGAAGGCCTTTTTAGTGCGATACTAGCAGAAAACTTCCTGGGTTTGGAGAAGGAAAGAGACATCCAAGTACAGGAAGCACATAGAACCCCCAATAAACATGACCAGAAGAGATCCTCACCATGACACACTGTAATCAAACTCACCACAGTGAAACATAAAGAAAAGATTCTAAAATGTGCAAGAGAGAAACGTCAGATTACTCTCAGAGGATCTCCAATCAGACTCACAGCTGACTTCTCACCAGAAACCCTACAGGCTAGGAGGGAACGGCGAGATATAGTCCAGGTACTAAGAGAAAAAAAACTGCCAGCCTAGAATATTATATCCTGCAAAGCTCTCATTTGAGAATGAAGGTGAAGTAAAGATCTTTCATAGCAAACAGAAATTGAAAGAATTTGTCACCACTTGTCCAGCCCTGCAAAAGATGCTTAAAGATGTGTTACACACAGAAACACAGAAACATGGTCATCAGTGTGAAAGAAGGTAAAGGAAGAAAATCTCTCAGTAAAAGTCACAGGAAGTTCAAAGTATATATTAGAAATATCTTTGGAAAAATGGCAAGGCAAAGTCACCACTTATCAATAGTCACATTGAATGTAAATGGCCTCAACTCTCTAGTTAAAAGACACAGACTGACTGAATGGATTAAAAAACAAAGCCCATCTATTTGCTGCTTACAAGAAACACATCTTTCTGACAAAGGTGCATGCAGACTGAAAGTGAACGGTTGGAAAAAGATATACCATGCCAACAGAAACCAAAAAAAGAGCTGGTGTAGCCATCTTAAAATCAGACAAAATAAACTTTAACACAAAAACTGTTAAAAGAGACAAAGAAGGGCATTATATAATGATTAAGGGATCAATTCAACCGGAAGATCTAACTATTATAAACGTATATGCACCTAATTACAGGGCACCTGGCTATTTAAAAGATATGTTAAGGGACTTAAAGGGAGACTTAGACTCCAATACAATAGTATTGGATGACTTCAATATTCCACTTTCAGCAATGGACAGATCAACCAGACAGAAAATCAACAAGGAAACAACAGATTTAATCCACACTATAGACCAAATGTATCTAACAGATAATTACAGAACTTTTCATCCTACACTTAAATAATACACAATCTTCTTAGCAGTGCATGGAACTTTCTCTAGGACTGACCATATACTAGGCCATAAAGCAAATCTCAGCAAA